AGTAAAGCCTATTTCCCAAACTCGTATTTCAGGGATAAGAGGAGTGAATGGAATTAAATAAGTAACTACAATAGCATATAATAGTAAATACATATAAACAGAATGCTATAGAAAAGAATCTTCAGTTCTTGATAATGGCAGATTACTCAAATCAAGCCTTCCCCCCAAAATAATAAAAAAATGTTATATTAAATATAAAGAACATTCTTTTAAAAGTAATGAAGGGTTGACAAGATAATAAGGAATTACTAGGTCAATAATGAAAGGAAAAATGGGAATCCAAAAGTTACGGAAGTACAAAAGCCTCTTCTGCCCTAAGGGTATTTGTAAGTTTCAGAAAAATTTAAATCTTTTGCCAATCTCATGGAAGGAAATCAAAGCTCAGGACACACACAAGGTTAGAAATCTAATAGGCCACCTCATCTTAGTCAGCTAAACTCCAAAAAGTCTGCCAAAACAGGTTAAAAGTTAAATCAGATGCAAACTAGTTCTTGTACAGATTTGAAACTAACACTGTTATTTCCTGAACAGTAAATAGAAGTTCAAACCTTGTATTTAGTTTAAGGTGGTGTCATCCTAGTAAGCTACCAAGAAGCAGACAGAAGGAAACACAAATCTTTGTAGAGGAATGTGACTTCACACTAGCCTTCAGATTATTTCTATAATCTTTCAAATATAATGAGCAGGGGTCATCAAAACAAAGTCCTTGAGATGCAATATACAAGACAAAAAATGTTAAATCAAGTATTTCAGGTAGATTATATAAAACAGTTATATATTTACCATGTTTAAATAAAAAGAAAGCTTAAAAATACGTGTAAGGAAGAGAACAATGCAAAAAGCACATGTGAAAAAAAGACTGAAGTTTTAGAACTGAAACATACACTAAACATAATTAAACATAAATGATACCACAATGATAAGGCATGCAAAACAGGATATTCTGTAAGATGACTGGTCTGGACTCATCAAAAAGTAAATGTCACAAAGAAAAAATATGGCCCTGGCTGGCGTAGCTCAGTGGATTGAGCGCGGGCTGCGAACCAGGCATCGCAGGTTCGATTCCCAGTCAGGGCACATGCCTAGGTTGCAGGCCATGACCCCCAGCAACCGCACATTGATGTTTCTCTCCCCCCCCTTCCCCCTCTAAAAATAAATAAATAAAATCTTAAAAAAAAAAAAGAAAAAAAAAAGAAAAAATATGTAAGTACCATACTATTCCAGTTTGAGACTAAAGAAACAAACTCCAATGCAATGTATAAACCTTGGCTGGATCCTGATTCATACAACAGAAAGTATGAATGTAGACTGAATTTTAGTAAAATGTCATTATGTCTGCAACTTAGTATTAAATAACATATTTTAGAAAGTAAGTACTATATGTAAGAGTACATATAGCCTATATAAAGCAAATAAAGCAAATGATTACACTGAATGTAGGTGAGGTTATACAGATGTTAATTTTACTATTATCCCAACTTTTCTCTACTTGAGTATTTTCAAGCAACACAAAACAAATTTGGCAGTGTTTCATCTCTGCTTGGTATATAGACAGCCCCAAGAGAACATCAGTCCTGCCCTAACATAACAAGAGTAAACCAGACAATCTATTAAATCACCTGAGTACATACACTAGAATTGTGGTTGCAAGGCAACCAGTGAAATGAACTACATAGAAAGGTAAGCCCCTCCAACAAGGATAGATAGGACAAAGGTGGCCACCAAAACAGCTACGAAACAGCCAAATTTTCTTGAGTTCCTAAATCCCTAAAGGCCAAATGTTTGCTAGTGTGACAGTTTAGAAAATCTGGGAGCCCTAACATAAGATATCTTTTCTACAGGTCTCCACTGGGTGCTCATAAGAAAGAATGAGGACAAATAGCAGATCTGAGGTCCCACTTTCTATAGTTTGACCACATGGGTCCTGCCTATGTTTGAGAGAAGAAGCACCTGAAGACACTCATACACACTCCAAACCCTGAGTGAGTACAAGGTAGTATCAGGTGTTACTAGGAAAGGGGTAGGAAAGCTACTTTCTGTAAGGATTCTGCACTAATACAAGGCAGTTGTCTTTAGGCCCTAAAGGGCTATGAAACCCACTTGCCCAGGATCTTCTAACAACAAAAGGCAGAGATCAGCTAGAAGGGACATGCACAGTGGCATCTGCCTGCACTCTAGACTCTAAAAAGCAGGGAAAGGTAAAAAATCTTAGGACAACCCCATCTTTGAGAATAAGGCACAGAGCCTGCCTAAGACTGGAAGAGGATGCATAGAACTAAGAACACCATGAGCTTTGGTCCAAATAAGCAACAGCAGTCTACTGCTAAGAAACTTAAAACAGCCTGACCCCTCTGTGGTACAGATGTGCAGGGCTTGCAGGAAGTTGAGGCTAGTGAAAGAATACTGAAAGAAATACTCCAGCATTCTGGGCCTCACATTAAGCACTACACAGTGGCAGTCCACTAACAGAGTAATTTGAAGGTTTAAAAAAAAAAAAAAAGGTAATAATAAAGCTCAAATCCAGCTCAAGTACAGACAAAACCAACTCAACCCATCACATTAACAGTCTGACAGAAGTAGAGTGTGTCCATATTCAGGCAAAACTAATAAACAGCCTCTACTGTTTTTTTGTTTGTTTTTTTTTTACTTACACAGTCTCTACTGGTCTTATTGACAATGTCTGGTATTCAACAAAAAATTACAACACACACAAGAATGTCAAGAGATAAGAATCAATGAAACCACAAGAAGAGATAGCCCCAATGTTAGCAAAGTGGGAATCTAATGATTTTAACAGGAAACAAGGCAAAACTGGAAAAACTCGGGAACTGGGAGATAAGCTAGAAACCAACTATCCAGATTGAAGCATGAAAAAACACATGATAGCAAATACAGGACAGGGTTTAAGACACACAGAGAAGAGTCATAAAGTCTTTTGTACATTTAATTGGAGTTATAGAAGGAAAGAACTAGGGCAGAGAAAAAAATTAAGATGTTGGCTAAAAATGTCCAAAACTGATGAAGGATCAGTGTCAAAAGCCCAATAAACACCAACTAGAATAATTAGCAATTATACTAATCACTAGATTATACTAATCACTCATATCTGACTGTGGAAAATCATACTTAGGAAAAATCTGAAAGTGTTATGGGAGTATTGAATGAGCAGCCAAAAGTCCCAGATGAGAAAAACTTCAGAGGAGGTAACATATGAGTTGACCTTTGAAGAATGAAAACAGAAAAAAGAGGAAGGCATAAAAATACTATAGCATGTTGAAGAATGTAAGTATGAGGAGTGAAATGAAAGGCATGAAAGAGGAGAGAACAAAAAGGACTCTGAGAAAATGAAAGTAGATTATATCTAGACTGTAAAGGCAATCCTGTATCCCCTGCTCAGGAGTTTGTGCTTTAATAAGGCAATGGTTTTGAAGCTTTTCACCATTAGTAATTTGCAAGTTATTTTTCTCAAGTATCCCAGAAATTATATGTTCCTGATGATTAGTTTACAAAAATGAAACTACCATTAGTCTTAGCAAAACTTTACCTAGTTTTGCCAGGCCTCAATAGTATAGATTCATACACAGCTTTCTGCATTTCTTGCAATACTGAAACTCAGTAATTAATTACACCATCCTTATAAAACCATGGGGAAAAACTACTGATTTTACCTATAGACGTAGGAGCGACTAAAGATTTTGAAACTACATCAGTAAAAATCAGTCAAACAAACTCAAAGTAAATCAGCATTAAGGACAAGTTATTACGAACAGACACAGTGGCTCCAAGACATATTAGCAAGGGCCCAAAATAAATGGATAGAAGGCAGATTCAACACATCTCAAGTAGAAAAGAATGGTGGGGAGGGAGGAATTATTCAGAGTACTGAAGAACAAATATATATGTCTATATAGTGGAGGCCAAAGAAATACACCAAGATGAGTTGGTTTTTAAAGAATGAGGAGTCTGAAGTGCTCAAAAGAGGTCTAGAAGTATGTTGGAAATAGTTTTGAAAACATAGAAGAGCAGTCTGGGGGATGACAATATATTTTCAATCATTGACACTGATCTATTTGCTTTTTCACATACACATACACCTTAGTACCTTCTGCTTGTAATGTACCTTCTAGTTAGTCTTAGTTCCACCCCCTCTCCACTGATTACATAATTAGAATTTGGGGCACTATGAAAAAGTAAACTAAAAAACTTCAGGCAGTATATAGGAACAAAAGAAGTCTACTTACTACCCTAATTAAGAGTAAAGCTTTCTCCCCTGGCTGGTGTGGCTCAGTGGACTGAGTGCTGGCCTGTGAACCAAAGAGTAAAGCTTTCTTTGTGCACCACAAGCTGCCTATTAAACAGGGTTTGGATTTTTAGTTTACCAAATTTGAAAGGCTGTTAATTCTGAAGATCAGAGTTTTAAAAAGCAGAGCAATGCTCAAATTTTTTTTTGTTTACTCTGCTTAAAAAGGTCTGGCTAGCGTAGTTCAGTGGATTTAGTGTGGGCTGCAAACCAAAGTGTCACAGGTTCGATTCCCAGTCAGGGCACATGCCTGGATTGCAGGCCATGGCCCCCAGCAACCGCACATTGATACATTGATGTTTCTTTCTTTCTCCCTCCCTCCCTCCCTCTCTCTCTCCCCCCCTCCCTCCTTCCCTTCCCTCTCTAAAAAATAAATACATAAAATCTTAAAATAAAAAAAAATTAAAAAAAATAAATTAAAAAAAAAAAAGGTACCTCTCAGCCCTGGCTGGTGCTGTTGAGTGAATTGAGTGCTGGCCTGTGAACCAAAAGGTCACCAGTTCGATTCCCAGTCAGGGCACATGCCTGGGTTGCAGGCCAGGTCCCCAGTAGGGGGCACACAAGAAACAACTACACAAGGACGTTTCTCTCCCTTTCTTTCTCCCTCCCCTCCTCTCTCAAATAAATAAATAAACAAACAAACAAACAAACAAACAAAATCTTAAAAAAATAAATAAAATGTATCTTTAAAAAAAGGTACCTCTCAAATAGTATGTATCCTCTCCCATCACTCTAGATTGCTGTGTTCCGTTACTATAGTAACAGTCTTGTTCAGGATCTGTCAAGAGTCACACAGTAGTCATAAATGAAATAACCAGACTATCAAAAGAACCCTGGCCCTATCCATATATATCCGTAATATCCAAATACTACAGACCACACCTAACACTTTTCCTTTATTTAGAATATATGCATTAATAAAGGTAATTTTTCCAAAACAAGAAACTGAGGCTAGGCAAGATAAATTAAGCACTGCCCAATTTTTAGCTCATAAGCCAATTTCTAACTATTTGTAGAAATATGACAGTTATGAGTGCAAGCTTTGAAGTCTGTCCTTTACTTGGTGTGACTCTAGGTTTAATCTCTACAGTGCTTAATTTCTTCACCCATAAAAGGGGCATAATAATAGTACCAACTTCACAGGTAATATGAACTTTGCTGGCATACAGTATGTATTTAGCAAACACTAGTTGTTATTAAGCAATACCACCAGTGTTAAAAGATTTCCATGTAAACAGCTTAGTAGAAATTCTAATGGCTTTCATTATTTAGTTTTTATTTTAACATATAGTGTAAAAAAAAAAGAAGACTTTATAAAGTCATTCAGATTTATGTACAGGAAGACAGTCACTACATGGTAAAGAAACTTACAGACCTTACTTATATAAGTACATGTATAAAAATTTGAAAATAGCCATTATTAACATGTTACTGTCTCTGGGTGGGTTTGGTTCCTTCTTTATACCTAGTTTTCCCAAATTTCTTTAATGTACTTGGTCTTACTTTGATAAATAAGGGAAACAGTTATTTGCAAATGAAAAAGACTTTTTCTGCAATTTATATTACAAAATCTACAAAGAACCAAGAATAATTCCCTTTCTAAATTTCTATACTGCTTGTTTACACTCCTTACTATTTACATTCCACAAAGGAAGTAATAAATATTAAACAATGAAGTACTGTTCTGGTAAATACTAAGTGGAAGATAAAAATTTCAAGCATACAGAAAAGTAGAAATAATAATGAACCTTCATGTACCAATCAACAATGAACCTATCTTGTTTATTTGACCAACCTCTATTTTAAAGCAAATCCCAATCACAACATTGTTAAGGATGCCTGTTCTTAAAATGTTGTAAGTATACTCCCTTCGTATTGTGATGCTCCTGGTCTGCCCAGGAAGAGATAAAATCTTAATTCCTTACCCCTTCGGTGGGGGATCCTCTTGTAAGATTTACTCTGACTGAAAGAATGTGTAGCACTGCCCTGGCCAGGTGGCTCAACTGGTTGGAACGTCATCTCAAACACCAAAGGGTTGTTGGGTTTGATTCCAGGTAAGGGCACATTAGGAGTACCTAGGTTACTGGTTCAACGCCCTGGTTGGGATGCCTGTGGGAAGCAGCCAATCAATGCTTCTCTCTCTCCCCACCCCCTTCCTCCTCTCCCTCTAAAATCAATAAAAACATATCCCTGAATGAGCATTAAATAAACACAGAAAACTTAAAAAAAAAAAAAAAGTGCAGTGTTAGGTGACATCATATGATTTTCCAAGCTGTAAGAAGTCTAGTAGCTTCTACTTTGCCCTCTTGGGTTGCTGTCTTAATACAGCCAAATCACAGAAGACTATATGGTGCAAAACCTAAATATTAAGCAACACCAACTGCCAGTCATGTCAGTGATGCCATCTTGAACTTCCCAGCCTTCGAAATCCTCCAGCGGAATGATGGTACATGAGTGAACCCAGGCAAAACCAGTATAATCACCCAACAGGCACACACAACTGTAAAAAAAATAGTGAATAGCAGTTTTAATCCACCAGATTTTGAGGTTTGCTATGAAGTGATAAAGCTTCAAAACTTATCCTAACTTTTCACTTTCCTTGTATCACATCAGTTTCTAAGAAAAATCTGATTTTATTTCAGGGTGTACCTTAGAATGTCTTAGATATCCAGACGAGTTGCAGTTGCTGAATTACCTAAAGCACAATATTACTATACAATAAATTCATGTTATGAATGCCAGAGCTATTACAAAAATACTAATGTATCATGATTGCCAATCACATTCCAGGAGTACAAACATAGCTACAAGTCCATTCTTTACTTGTACTTGGTACATTCTTTTGTTTAAAAAAATCTGCTTCTGGGAGGAAAATTTTTCTCAATAAGAAATCCTAGTTATTTTATTGATCCTAGTGAACATGGAGATATGGAAGCTATGGGTGGTCACATGAAGAAAGCAGTCTTTTGGATTTTTAACAGGTTTTGAGCTGACAAATATTTAAGACATAAAGATATGCCCATCTTGAAAAAAATAACCCAATAGAAGTTTAATATTTCCATGAGAAAATATGAATATGATGTTAAGTCTACTCTCTAGTACTTTATGAGATAATCTGTTCTCCTTTTAAGTGTATTTAAAATCCCTAAGTCTCAAGGTTCAATCTTCGTTCTGTAAGTGATACAACTTTAGGGATTTTTCTGGAAAAGTGAGAAATACATTATACTCAAGTATAATAATCATTATGGAAAGATTAGAACTAGCTTTTGAGGTTAAAAATTTGCCCTCTTTTAAACCTGAGGACAATAATGGGTACATGTAATGTAGGCCAGTAGTGATTTTAAAACCAGGTATTCAACTTATCTAGTCTAACCGGTAGAGCCACAGAGAAAGAGAGCAAGAAAAACCAGCTTTGACCATGAGTTCAGACCAGAGAAGTTAAAAATTAAGGTCAATGAAAATTAAACCCCAGCCAACTCTCAAATTATAATTTTATCCCCCCCTTTTGGGTTCATCTTATGATTAGCAACTGTATTAAAGACAGATTTGGGGGCATAAAATAATGACTTGTGAGAAGATAAACTATTTCACTGTAATAGAATTCTGCTGTAGTGAATTGCATTCAAGTAGGTCTTAGGAGAAACTCAAAATCTTACTCATTTTAAATTGTAATCATCTTAATGTGATCAGTTATTGATTCTGTTACTTAGATTCCTTAGTTCTTAAGTTTAATTTGTTGGTAAAAAAATGAGGTTTGGCCCTGGTCTGGAGGCTTAGTAGGCAGGAGTGTCCCCTCCACCAGAAGATTGTGGGTTCAATTCCCGATCAGGCATGTGCCTAGGTTGCAGGTTTGGTCCTTGGTCGGGGTGCATTCAGGAGTTGGCCAAAAGATGATGTTTTGATGTTTCAGTGTTTCTCTCTCTTTCTCCCTCTCAAAAATTGGTAGATAAATCCTCTGGTAAGGATTAAAATTAAAATTAAAAACTTTTAAAAATAAAAACAAGGTTTGATGGAGGCCTATGCCTTTCCCACTATTATTAGCACTGGCACTTAATTATACATAGTAACAAGTATATATCAGCAAAGATAATCTAAAAACCATTTTTATTTGGTTTAGAGATGCAATAGCTCTCCATGCCCAACAGCACCAGAGCACTAACTTTGTAAAACACTACGGAAAGTCTCTCATGTCCTGCTCTAACTTTCCATTCAATTTGTTTCAGCTATTGGGAACAAACTGTCCACTACTAAAACAAATCATGATATCATGACTTTATAGTTTCCTTATCAACCTCTTAAGTCATCCTTCTCATCTCAGTTAAAGCAATACCTGCTAAATTTTTCCCAAGATTAAACACACTTCCTCTGTGCTCCCAAGGTACTACCATGTCCTTACACTAAGATAGTAGCAGTTGTTTGTACCTTAGTCTGATGACTAAACTGTAAGTTGTGGAGGGCAGATGGTGTGTCAAGCTCATTCTTGAAATGTGAAGCCCTAATCTAGAAGCCAGGATACAACAAATAACAAATTACCAAATAATGTAAAACATTATTTGCACTATTACAACTATTTTCTCTAAAATATAATAGTAAAATGTGAGTAACTCTTGAACACACACTTGTGAAGTGGATACAGGATTAAAAATCAGCTGCATGAGTGCCATGGATGACTTTTTACATCCAATTTGATTACATGATGACTTCAAGTAAAGCATATGTGCATTCTATATGGGGACATTTTTGTGCTTTACCTTGAAAAATAAACTCTCTTGCTAATGCGGAAGAGAAATCACTTGTACTTAAGCAGGAATTTCACACATTTGTAGTAGAGAACTTACATAAATATGTATTTTGTGAAGCTGTCAGCAATCTATGGGGGGCATACAGGCAGAATAAAATTTCAAGGTTATTCAGACAAGAAGTCATGAATATAATCAATTGGACTTCAGATACCAATTCAAATTGTTTGTAATCATTTAAAATTTACTCTACAAGTATTAGGTCCCCCAGTATGTTGACTGCTATACACTGCACCATCTAACTTAATCCTTACCTCTGGTCTAGGAATTAACTGCTGTATTTCTAAGGAAAATGAAGAAGTTAAATAAGTTACAGAAAAATTAAGGCTCAAATCCAGATCTTCCAACTCTAAAGTATAAAATAAAATTCTCTACAGTATAGTAATAACGTAAAGTATAAAATAAAATGCTCAAGAAAAAAACCTACACTTTGTGTCTGCCTTAACAGTATACTGTTTTTGATTTTTAATTCAACAATTCATCTTTAACCCTACCTTTTAGGTCTGTACAGAAATGGATGGATGAGAATAGGAAAAAGGGAAATTTAAAACAATAAACAAAGGGAAATGCCTAAGAAGTCTTACAAAAATCGGAAAAAAAAATCTTACCAAATTTATTATCACTTGGCACATTTACTTTTAAAAGTGCCAAAGGATTAAACTGATGAATTTATTACCAAGACAGAGATTTTTCCATATATACTACCTACTTCTGTATATAGGAAAAAAGTATCAATTGTAGTATTTTTGGGGTGTGTGTATGTGTGTGTACACATTCTCAAGTCTTCACTACGCATTTTCATCAAAATGAGGGAGTATTCTACTACTGGTGGCTTCCGTATTTTTACTTCTTACATCAACAGGTCCATTTTTTATACATATCATCACCTATTTCAATTTGAAATACACATAATTTACCACAAAACAAAAAAAAATGCCCAAGAATCACGATATTCAAGAACAGGAACGATCACTGAGCAACCCAAAGACTCACCGCACTTGGGGGCTGAGAAAGCCCCTTCAATACGAGGCTGGGTGGGCAGAGCCCCAAGCCTCCCCGCCTTCCAGCGTAAATATAGTACCACCCTCGTGACCAGCCCGCTGCGCTTGGCGGGACCCTGCTTACCCCAAACGAAAAGGCCGCTGCCTATGGCAAAAGCCCCTAGCCCTCACCCACCAGCCACAAAAAGGCTACAAATCTGCTCCCCTCAACCCGGCATAAACTCCCAACAGAAGGCCACCCGTAAAGGAAGCCTGCGACCAAAATCCCTCCTGCGATCAGGAATCAAGCTCCTCCACCCCATCCTGCTTAGGAGGAAGCGACCTCCGCGTCCCCAGGCCTGCACTTCGTTCTCTCCCCTCCCCCACCCACGGCCTCAGCGAGAACCACCTCCCCTAGAAGAAGACCGAGCTCTGCAGCTTATTACCTCCGCTCTGGAGCTGGCACTGAACTAGGTGTGTTTCACTAATGACCACACCACCACCTTCTTCCTCGGAACTCTAGGACTTTGAGGCAGAGCAGTCGGCTGCGAAGGACAATGGCGCCCGCCCCTCTCCCAGATCCGGCACAGAACTAGCTGCCACCGTTAAATGCCCCTCCCTTCTCCTCCTCCTCCTTGGTCGCGGACTTCACCGGCATCTCGCGAGAGTGGCGCTGTGGGGATCTGAGAGCTATCCGCGGACTCGACGTACCCCACCGCGGGGTGGTGCTCTGACTGCGGCAACCGTTGAAGGGCTGCCCCGGAGGAGGCAGCTAGACGCCACTGGTAAGCAGCCGTGTCTGGTCGTCCAAAGGGCTGGCGGCTGGGCCAGCGAATGTGCGGGAGTCGGGAGCCAGGTGCTGTAGGCCCGGCCCTGGTTGGTCTCCTTCGCCTAGGTGGCAAGGGGCTCTGATCCAGCTCTGTGGCTCTCTGGCACCCAAGTCCCGGCTATACGCTTTTACTGCCTCCTGCAAAACTGCAGGGCCCTACTCGAAATAATGTCTAGCCCTTTTTTTTTTCTCTTGGTTAGTGGCGCAAGGAATGTTTACCAATGACTTGAATCAAGCCCTGCCTTTCCCGACCCCCTATCCTCCTGCTCCCTGCCCTCCCTTTTTAATGTCTGTGACCCCTCCCCCTTTTCGGGGTGGGAGCAGACTGTACGGGTTTTTCCTTAATTCATTTTTGGTGTTGGTGTACTTTTACAGTCAATGTTTCTGTAGATAGTGATACTAATATTTCATAGTGTAGCAACAGACTTTGCAGTAAAAATTTCATCCATTTAGAAAGAGGAAGGAAAGTTGTCAGGCATATAGTCTCATGATTTTTTAAAAAAAATTGTCAGATGAAATTAAATGAAACTTAAAAAAACCTAAGTAGTAAAGTAAGATGTAAATGAATAGTAATACAAAGGAACTAAGTTAAAGGAAAAGCCACAATTTATGTGGACTTGATAATATCGTGGATTCAGGTGATACATATGTTTTGAATAATTTTTTAAAGATTTTATTTATTTAGATTTAGAGAGATGGAAAGGGAGGGAGAGAAACATGGATGTGTGTGAGAAATACATGGGCTTCTTGCCTCTCACATGTCCCCACGCCCCTATCCAGGGACCTGGCCCACAACCCAGGTATGTGCCATGACTGGGAATGGAACCAGCAACCCTTTGGTTCAGAAACAGGCGCTCAATCCACTGAGCCACACCAGCCAGGACAGATTTTAGGTAATTTATCAAACAAAAGTTCTTTGCCAGTAAACATATTGAAACTTAAAGATATACTGACAACTCTTGATTTTTAAAGTGACCTATGTCATTACGTTGTTTTAAGCAATTCATTGAATTCAAATAATTCTGATAAATGAAGTGTGAGGTTTATATGTATTTCTTTGTCTTCTCATCAGAAGAGAATGTACCATTACTGTCATCCCCATTTTTCTCTCTCTTGAAGACTAAGAGACTATCTATGCTTCACTATTGTTAATTGTAAAATATTATAAAGGTTAAAAATATAAAGTTGAATAATTATTATTATTAAAGTTGGCACATAAATGTCAGTCTAACTTTTTAGGATATGAGTTGAAGATTAAGCATGTGGTGTAGGATAAAGGAAACACAGATTACTTTTGAGGAAATCAGTTTGCCTTTTTAGAAAATGGATTTTTTCCACCAAACTGAGTATACCTGTAGTTTTGTGGTTATGGATATACACACCCAAAAACACCAGACTGCGTGAGTTCACATCCCAGCCTTGCCTCTTACTACCTTTGTTATCTTAAGCAAGTCCTTAACCTTTCTAAGCCTGGGTTTCCCATAAAATTAGGCCTAAGAACAGTACCGACACCCCATAAGGTTCTCAAAAGGATTAGAGATAATGGATCAGTTCCTGAAACAGTAAGCATTTGATGATTGTTAGCTCTTACATTCAGTATCAAAACCATGGTGAATACTGTCTTTCTGGGATTTGATATATAGGTTTTTTAAACTTCTTCTCAGGTACATTATATACTAAGAGGAATGACTGCACCATTTTCTTGAGCTATGGCAGTCAAATCTGGTATCAGTAACTTCTCTGCAGAACACCCAAACCTGGCAAGGATGATTCAGATTTTGGCAGATTATGGCTTCATCCCCATCCAACATTGAAGTTACCAGCAGAGGTGAGTGTGGCACCAATTTTCTAAGCTAAACACCACTTTCAGACTCTAGTTTCTTATTGATACTAGTAAATAGGTAAAGACATGTTTTATTCTTTAAGAATGGTTAGTTATTTTTTAATGTACTTTCTCTGATTTGAATTTCCAGGAAATCATCATTATTCAATAAATAATTGAGGTTTTCCTATGTTAAGAACAATTTTATGAGAATTCTGTATATAAATAGGTATAATAGTGACTATATTTTCTGAATTAAAAATCAAAACAAAATGATTTGATAGGCAAAACATTTGAAATTAGAACTGTTCTGACCAACTCAGATTCCATGGTTGCCTTTTTTTATATAGTATTTCTTTACCGGGCCTTCCTTTGATGACTTTTTCTCCTTAAGACACACTTTTCGGTAAGTAAATCTTTGTTTACCACTTGCCCACATACTCACATTAGTTTACATTTTAACCTGGCTTCTTCTCAAAATTAGGGTCTTACTACTATATTTATTCCCTTTCTACTTTATAAATTTATCATTTGTTCATGGTCATTCCAGCCCTTTACTTTTATATAAAACTTTATTTCTTCAGCTGTCTGTTAAAGTTCTCTTTCTTATATTAAATTTCAAACTTCCTGTTTCCCCGACTTTTTATCATATTTCATCTTAACCTAAGAATCCTCTCTATGGCAAGGGCAGTCTTATAGACATCCTTTACTTTGTATACTGGTGTGATCTTGAAAAGGTGTGGTTATATTTGCTTTTTGTAAATCAAAATTTTTTTGAATGTAGGCTATTAAACTTTTGAGAAACAGGAGGTAATACTTGAGATGAGATGAGAGTGCTTACAGGGAGTCGAAAGGCATCCTTTTCCTTTAGTTGAAAACAAGGGATGCCAGTTTCTTCTCAAATGGGAATCTCATTCATCCCTGGAAAAAGGAAACCTTATGGCATCATCCAACTTGAGGATCAGCAATTTAGTTGTAGGTAACATTAAATGTATAGTAGTTATTATTACTTAACAATAGTTTGTAGAGGACTCTTTCTTCTAAGAAATATTATTAAAGGTCCTTTGCTTTAAATCTTTGTTGTTAAGAATCCCTTTGATGTAAACAATCACTAACCCCCTGATGTAGTGATTTTGTGAATTTTAATTTCCCATTATCAAGTTTAATTGAAAAGTACCACATTTAATAAGTGAATATTTAATGCATTCTGTTGCTTGACTTCTGCTTGATTAGCAGCAAAATGTTCAATCTCCAAAGGCTACAGATAAAATAATACAACAAGTAAAGAGCATACCATCATGAAATCCTCTCTGAGAAACTTCTTACACTTAAGCTTATGGTCTGTATATCACTGGTTCTAGGAAGGTCATTCCTGCTTACATAACTTCTCCAGAATATCTGCCCTGGTCGGGAATAACTCCCAATTAATGGATCACCCTGAATCCATATGTATGTGAAGCACCTTTCACACTGCCTGAAACACAGAGAGTATTTCATAAAAGCAACTATATTTTATTATTGTTGATATTAAGGGTTTGAAAATTGTGACACATAGGCCAAATCTGACCCACCACCTGTTATTGTAAATAGTTTTATCAGAACACAGCTAGTCACGTTAGTTTATATATCATCTATGCACAGGTTCTATAGAGAAACTAAGCCAATAGTATACAATCTCTCTGTCTGTCTGTCTGTCTGTCTACCTACCTACCTATCTAATCTAGTGTATCTAGCTATCTAAAAATTAGCTCACAGGGTTATGGGGACTGTCATGTTTGAAATAATGTAGGTCAGATCTGAAGCCTGGAAACTCAGAAAGGAGTTGATGTTGCCGTCACGAGGCAGAATTTCTTATCTAGAAAAGCTGTTTTTGTTGTTTTCAAGGCTGATTGGATGAAGTGCATCATATTTTCAAGGGCAATCTTAAAGTCAACACATTATAAATATGAACCACATTTACAAACTATCTTCATTGTAGTGTCTCAATTAGTGTTTGATTAAATAACTTGATACCCTAGACTCACCAAGTTAACACAAAATAAACCATCAAAATCTATGAGTGGTTTCACCCTACAACTGCAGAGTTAAGTAGTTGTGATAGCAACTGTATGGGCCCAAAAAGCCTAAAATATTTGGTTCATTACAGAAAGTTTGCTAGCTACCAGAGTAACCTGTAAAACCAGATTGAACTGACCCCTGTTCCTTTAATACAGTTATGCAAACTCACACAGAACTTTAGAATGATAATAATCAAGTACTATGCTTGGCCTCCTCAGTCACTTCAGACTACATTTTATGAGTGGAAGCAGAAGAGCATCCAAATACTGATAAATTTTTTGGCCATTTCCTTTGGCAAGTTTGGTTGCAACCCCATTTTTATCTTAAATACTTTTCATGTTCAGTCCTGACTGGGAGGCTTAGAGGATTGGGCATCACCCTGCAAACTGAAAGGTCATCCGTTTGATTCCTGTCAGGGCACACACTTGGGTTGTAAGCTGGTCCTCATATGGGGGTGTGCAATGGGCAGCTGATCAGAGTTTCTCTCACACGTAGATGTTTCTCTCCCTTTCTTCTTCCCTTCCTTTCTCTCTAAAAATAAATAAAAATAAAGTCTTTTTTAAAAAGTTCATGTCCACATGTGTACAATTTTATAACAATGTATATGTTGATTATATCATACATACTAGCTATTTTAGTATAGTCCTATCACTTTTTTTGGCTTTATCCCCCCACATTTTTTTTCATTTGTTTCTTTTCTTTTTTTAATTTGGCTCTCCCGTCTTTATTTACTACTCCACAACATTCTTGCAAAGTTAGTGAGCATCCTGCTGCTTTCTTTTCTTCATGGTCATACATTCTTAAAAGAATAGTTATATCACATACACACATAGAAATTCTTATATATGTAGGGTTTTTTTACCATTTAATAAAACAGCATCAAATTTCAACATGAATATTCATATTTTTTCAGGCGAAAGTACCTCTTTAATACCTATTTACACACATATTGGTTGATTATCCTTTCCTTTTTCCTTTTTAAAATTGATTTGAGAGAGAGGGGGAGGAAGTAGGGCAGGAGGGAGATACAGGGAACCAGTCTGCGTGGCAGTGGGGATTGTAGCCCAGCCCCTGATTTGGAAAACTGGTAGGAGCAAGTCGACCCACAGGAACCTGGCCCATGGATCAGTTTTCCAGTTGGGAATCAGGCCTGCATTGTACCTAGGCTGCTTTGAGGCTTGTTTTTTGCTAAAACTCCCACAGCCTGAGTTGAGGAGGCAAATATTTACTGCATATCTTTAAGGTAACTTCCTAAAATCTGTGGCTAAACCTCCAAAGTATGAGTGTAACTAGTTCAACCACTTTTCTCCTTACGTTTGCAAACATCCTTTTCTTTGTAGTAATTAGCAACATCCTCTCCTTTGTTATTTGTAAAAGGTAATCAGCTAAACTGAACCTGTGCTTAGTAAATGAGGACCATTCTTGATGTAAAGTACCCAGAAAAGCAATAAAAGCCTGTCTAGGTAAGGGTCAGGGTGCCCTCTCTCTCACTCAGAGAGTGGTAGTGCTATTCTGTTTCTCCACAGGACTTCTGTAGTCCGTGTGAATTTGTTTGTCACAGCGACAACACACGGACCCCGCTGGCTGGAGTCCGCATTGGGGAGACATTGATTTATTCTACTTATTAATGCATTCACTGGTTGCTTCTTGTATGTGCCCTGACTGGAGATTGAACCCACAACCTTGGTGTGTCCAGGCGATGCTCTAACCAACTGAGCTACCTGGCCAGGGCCAATTACCCTTTCTTTTCAATTTGTAATAGATATTACCATTCCTGTCTTCACAGTTTTTCAACTCTATCATCTGTCTGTTGACTTGCCATTTAATACCACTTGCCATAGATACATTCATATAGTAAAATGTGTCAGTGATTTCTTTTATAAGTTTTGGGTTTCTGGCTTAGCTCAAAAAGTCTTACCTATCCCTAGATTGTATCATGTAGTGGCCTAGAATTTTTAGATTACTTTTTAATTCAACTCAAATTAATTTTTGTATGTAGAATATAATAGGATCCAATTTGTTTTCTTCTCAATCCATAGTCAGTTGTGATAGTAAAATTTCTTGAATAACTTGTTATTTGTGTTAGAAAAGCTACCTTTGTCATATACTGCTTTTTCACATTTATACTGGATTTATTTATAGATTTTTTATCTTGAAAACTAAACTATTCAAAACTATAAACTATGCAGACAATATTATTTAGCTGCCTTTCGAATCTTATTCATGTATTATTAACAGTATTTTGCATTTCTATCACCTACTTATTCAATTGTAGTAATGGTAATTATCTTCCAGGATCAACAAAACACTTTACTAGCTTTGCATTATACACTGCGTGTTACACTATCAGCCTGCTAAGACAGAGCTTAATTTCTTTTTTCTATTATCCTTGTTTTCCTTTCTCAGAAGTTTGCTGCAGCTATTGAGTATACTTCAGTTATTTAAAAACACAGCATCAAAACTTTGTATATCGTAATAATTTTTAAAAAATTATACACATATAGATTCTACTTAGTTTCTTAAATTCAAAAAATTCTTAGTTTCTTAGTTTCAAAAAGTTCATTATTGTAAGGTCCAATGTAAGTTTGTTTTTTTTTTTAAGATTTTATTTATTTATTTTTAGAGAGGGAAGGGAGGGAGATAGAGAGAGAGAGAAACATCAATGTGCGGTTGCTGGGGGTTATGGCCTGCAACCCAGGCATGTACCCTGACTGGGAATCCAACCTGCGACACTTTGGTTCGCAGCCCCCGCTCAATCCACTGAGCTACGCCAGCCAGGGCCCAATGTAAGTTTTTTTTACCATGGAACCTTAGCCACTCTTGATAGCAAGTTGGCCATTTCTACAATGGACAATACAGAAGGAATCCTCCATTTTTCCCAATTATGTCATCATAAATGGTGTGAGAATGATGATATACTTTAAATATTTCACTTATGTTTAATGTTT